CCGACATAATATGAAAATTAGACTCCAAAAATTTTGGCTGCCCTTGTGGGTTGTTTTGTTTTATTTTTTTTTCGACTTCCAAAAGCTCACAAAGCTGTGACTCAGGTGCAGTGGGAAGAACGTGTGACCCTGCCACAGCTGATCAGGAGCTCTTCTGAACTCTGGGAAAGCAGCATCTCTCCAGAAGCACCCAGGAGGTGAGAGACTCATGCTGGGCCACAAGCAACTCTGAACGTGTCATCAGACACCAGGGGAACGCTGGGCCTGCCATGCATTTTAAGAATAACATAGAGGCATGGAAGTGCTACTGATGGCTTGCTGGGACCCAGAAACCCTCGAGAGCAGCTCTGTGCCCGGGACAACCTTGCGTTTGCTTTGCTGGAAAGCCTGTAATCACTTTCCCTATAAGGACGAGAGGCTGTGCCAGTTTGTCTGCACTTTGTTACAGCTGAAAATGATAAGGTGCTTCCAAAGTGTTGTGTTACAATAGCTGTACCTTCAGTTTAAGGATTTATCTTCCTTTGCTGTAGATAAAACTCCATTCCTTGAACAAATTAGGTCTGCTTATCATTCAATGCTCTACCTAATGGTTTCAGCTGTGTGTTTCTGCATTTATTGAAGCTGGGGCATTCCACAGATAGTTCTCATTGATTTGAGAAGTGAGCCAGAAATCCAGTCATATTTTATCCAAAATGAGAATGGGGCAAATTAATGATATAATTAGAATTGTCAGAACTCTTAAATCATAAAGGACAGGTTTAAATGCAGAATGATAACATTTTTAAAGGGGTATAAAACACAACCTGTTTATAAACAGCAAATGTATTGTGAAGTGATGAGCTGAACCTTTTCTTCATTAGTGTAGGGAAGCTGACCACTGGCATGCTGTTAGTGTACGGATCTCTAATGCTGTCTCATCAGGATCACTCTGCGTATTTCAAAAGGCAAAATCTGCTATCCCAAAAGCTATTTAACCATGAATCCTTGGGTCAAAATTATGGCTGAAAAACAGGAGCTGGAGATCACAGGTATAGTTTTTGGGTAGGGTTAAAGGAAAAAAGGAAAACAAATGAAAAATGTCATACATCACTATAGAAAGGGAACAATGGAATGCAAAGAAACACAGGAACAGCAAATTCCATGCTGGCAAAGATGAATTTGCTGCACAGAATTGTCCTTCAAAATCTGAACATCTGAAAACCCATCACAGGAAGTAAGGGTACAAGGTACTCCCAAAGTCTACATATATCAGTTCAACATATTTAAATAAAAACCTCAACATCAGATTTAGGGAACAAAATAAAAGAGAAATTGTTCTGTGGTGGAAAAAGTTTGAAGAAAAAAACAACATAAACCTATCCTATCTTTAACTTAAAGACCATTTTCTTTTCAGCATCTTGTTGACTTTCTGCCCAGAAACTCCAGCCTAAGACTCTTGATTGAACAAGTCACAAGAGAATCGTGCGTTTGCAGAAGGCTGTCCAAGCAGGAGAGATGCTTTGTATACCACTTTAGGTCATAGTCTAACTGAATAAACACAGCCTCTTAAATTTTTATTAAGTTTGAATAAGGATTTATATGTTCAGAAAAATGGTGCTTGGAAGCAAAATGTAAAAGAAAGAAAAAAAAAAAAAGAAAGAGAAAGGAATGAGGAATGTTATATAACCAAAGGAAAGCAGAGGTGTTTCTTGCTTTCACTGTTCTTAATTAAAATTTAAAAAGAATAAAAAATAAAAAGAACCTCAACACTGAAACCAGGAAGGAATGGTGCACTGAATGTCCTTGGTGTTGATTCTGTCTGACAGCGCAGAGCTGTCCTCTGCGCTGCTGCCTAAGCCCCTGATTTGGTCTATGAAATGCCCTTTTCTCACACTTTTCCTCCTGGCACCGTCCCTTCTGCACCCTGTACAGACACAGACTGCTCTCTCCTCCCAAATACCACAGAAGTTGTCGAGATCAATGCTGGGAAACCACCGTTTTTCCAAAAGCTCTCTCAATGATGTTGAAGAGGCTCAAGAAAGTCATCCATAACACAGAAAGCCAACAGCATTAGTGTTTCTATTTCTGTTCCTTCTTCCTGCTCCAAGATGAGTTCTGATGCAAAGCCATCTCAGCTTCTTGCAGCCAGCTACTGAAGATACTCCATCTCCCAAGATTCGTGATACAGGAATTAAGGAAGTTTCTCCACATATATTTTTGTCCCTTCAAGTGTCCCTGGTGTGATGTTGGAATTTTCCAGCTGCTTTTCTGGCACGTTCCAGTTACTTAAATCAATGGCTCCCAAATGAGGCAACTAACAGACAGGGTGCCCTTTATTCTGCAGCTCTGTGATACTCAAAATTTTCCTGCACTTGTAGGATTATCATTTCTCATCATCCGATGAGGACTGTAATACACTCACAGTCAGATAAATCTCTCTGCTTAGATTTAGTTGTTCACGAGAAAGATCCCATGGGCGATGCTTCATGTTTAATATTTAAGTCAAGCTAATCAAATTTGATAACCAAACAGACTCCCTATGGCAGGGACAACATCCTTACAAAAAACACACAGAATAAACTCTGGAAGTACCACTGGCAAATGTTAACTGAATAGAGAGTCTATCCTGGGCTTTAATTTTCTATTTTGTACTGCTTGCAATTAGAAATAAATGATATAAAGCTGGTTTATAAAAACACTAGCAAACAAAAAAGCTCTTTACTTGAATTAAGAGCAACAGCCCATAAGAGGAATATACTCCACAACATTTAGAGTTCTGGAGGGACTAGTATACATATAGGGATTTTAATTTTCCATGGCCTCTAAGTGTTATAATCTCTATCAACTGTGTGCACTCTGAGCCCATGACTAATGCTATTGCTTGAACTCTCATTGTTTGCTGGCTTCTTTCTTCTTTAACACTGTTTTTAAACCTACACTGATTCAAGAATTTGCAGGAATAAAAAAGCTTTTACAGCATCTCAAGTCTGAAACACAGGTCTGTTATAGGACACTGTGTCAACAAATCACAGATGTCTGAGTCAATGCAATCAGTGTGAACAGCAATAACTTGCCTCAGAGACACAGGCACAGAAGAAAGCTGGCAAAATTACAGTTTGATAGCCATTAAAAGATGACAGAACATTCAGATGTCAGGACTGTCTTCCTGATTTTACAACTAGCATTTGTTTATTTGTGCCCATGACAAATACATCACCACACCTCAGGATAATTACTTCTGTAAGGTCACTTTGCGTTTATCTTGTGTGCTTACTTGCAAGTTATCTTCTCTAGGATCCTCTAAAGTTTTGAGCTCTCTACGTTTTTCAACTCACACAACGCACCTTTAGAGACATATTCTTAACAAAGTTGGTTTCTCCCTTTGCTTTTCAGTGCAAAACTGCCCAGGCAGAACAGCTCTGGCAGCTCTGCTGCTACACAAACATCTGTTTTAGTACTGCTCTGTTAGCAACACCTTTTATGTCCTGCTTAGTTATGCTAAAACAGCGTTTCACTCTATAGGACTACAAGAGTGAAGAGATTTGATCTCATTCATTACCATTAACCACTCTTCCTACAATTTGAGAAATATAGAATCATATAACCAGATAGGGAAAAAGAGGAGGAGATATAACCACTTTTTTCTATGATTTAAGAACTTCCAACTGTCCAAGCTGATGTTGAGGTTAGTTCTGTGACAGATTGCTTGGAAAATGCTGCAATGGAAATATTTAATATTTCTACCTAGAACTTCTTGAAGCAGCATCAAAGACCTGTACAAAACACCCACGTTGTGGAGAGTGGCTAACTTGCAGACTGGGGCCATCCTTGCTTTCTCAGTTTTTTATCTGAGAAATTACTGACCCACAGAGCCCTGTGCAACTCAGGATAACAACAGCAAGGTAAGAAGCCCCGAAAATCTCTGCTCACCTGATCTCAATTCTCTCTTGAGGTCACATAGTTATTCTTGATTTCTCTGTCTTAATGGTAAGCCACTATCATGATTTAATGGACTTTCATTGGCAAAACATACAAAACATTGAGGCTGGCAAAGTATATAAAGGTCCCCTTCAAAAAATCACTGCATCTGAGACAGGAATCTGTGAACATTTATCAAATAAAAAGATGAGGTAAGAGACGGTATCCATAGACCAAGTTTCCAAAGAATTAATGGGGAAGAAGAAAGAGGAACCTATATATCAAATGAGAATCTCCAAGTTTGCCATGAACTATCAAACTAGTCTGGAAAGCAGATTTCTGCTCCATTGAGTCTTTAATAGCATTGGATAACTAAGATAAACAGAGACGGAAGGGCTGTCTGAGACACATACAAAATTATTGAATTATGACATGTTTGAGAAGTTATTTACTTTACAGAGTATTTACACAAGGTTCACTTCCTCTTCAAACATAAGCTCAAATATTACAAAGATTTTTTTTCCCCCTTAATGAGGAGACCACATTCAACAGTCCCACAAATGTCCATAATTAACTTTTTTTAAGGCACATTCCTAGGAAAGTTTTCCAGTCAGTCACTTCCCCAGAGCCAAAGCAATACCTAGGAAACCCCAAACTTTCACTATGCAGATGAGACACATGTGGAGAAGAAAACATGAGACATCAAAAGGAAGAGGAAAAAGAGGAGATGGGGTAGAAAGTGATGACTGTGAGATTGGAGTTTTACTTTCTGCTGTGCTATAGGCATCTGACAGGCTTTATGCTGAGCTCTTAACCTTTCTTTGCCTCTATTCATCTGCTAAATTACACCCTTTTTTGTCATATAAAACCTGTAGGATGCAGAAACTATGCAGAAACTATGGGGAAACTATGTGTGTGATTACCTGGTAGAAACAGATACCAAGCATTTTAATGAATACAGGTCACTATATCCAGTGTAGAAATTTTAGATCAGGAACTTTGGTAAGAGAACATTTCCTGTCTTTGTAAGAGAAAATACCATCTATTTTAAAGCAAATTATTTGTTCTCAGCTCTCTGGCTCATACACAACATTTCTGCTTACCTGGGAAGTGTCATGATTGAATATAACAGCATTCAGGTCTCCGCAATTATAATGTTTGATGAGATCTTCAGTGGTGTACGGGGCCTGCAAACTGCCTGCTCGGAGACTTTCATGCTGGAGCAGAGTTTGGTTTAGTGCAAACAGCACCTGTAGAAATGCAAACAAGAACAGAAGAGGAGTTAATAATATTAGGTATCAAAGAAGCAAAGTGTAAAAGGCCAAGTGACTCAAAAAACTCACGCACGTATGACGTTTATTGACCCATCCTGGCCCACAGCAATACGGGCTGATTATCAGATATTTCCAACTGGAAGGGAATTCTAACTTTCTCTAGTAGAAGTCCTTATTATATGACCCTCGTTATTCCTCATAAGGTCTAACTTCACGACACTGCTCCTGCAGAGGAGACAGTCTGAGAGCTTTCAGGCTGTCTATGCAGACAACTTGGCTGCGTGGAAGACACTGGAATTAAAATCAGGAAGCTTGTATTTCCTTTCACTATTTCCTGGCAGCTATCTTAAATCCAAAGCCCAAACAAAATCAGAAGATTTTCAATAAAAATCATAACCTTCCAAACTTAGGAAGTCGCTGATGTATTAGGGGGACATTCTGCATGCTTTAAAATCAGAAACATGAGGCAATTCACTGTCAGTCTCCCTCCTTTAGTCTTTCCTCTTCACCTACCCTTCTGCAAAACAGAGATGTTGAATTGTGATACTGTTAGTAGACACAGTACTTCTTATGAGGCCTCACCAAGGCAGAGTAATGGAGGAGAACTTCCCTTGACCTGTTGGCCACGTTCTTTTTAATGCACCCCAGGATACCATTGCCCTTCTAGGCCACTGCTGGCTTATGGTCAACCTGTTGTCCACCTGGACACGCACAGAGGAAATAGAACCACTCTTTACTATTTACATTTCTGTACCCCCAAAATGCCCTTGATGATGATGAAAGCTTCTCACATTTGTAACAACAGTGCCCTCTCCATTCCAAGTTATCATCTCAACTCTCAGGTAAGCAACACATGCTGAGTGCCAGCTGGCCCAGCCACGGCTGCAGTCTCTGATAAATATTCTTACTCACATGCCTAACTTTAAGTAAATGAACTGACTTTAAGATTAAATCCCAAAGGAGTTTAAAATTAATGATGTACCAGTGTTTTTGCAACTTGGAAGTTCTTATTTGTTTACAAACACAGTTTCCACTGGAGTTGATCTGAAGAAAGGGAAACCGTCAACTGAATTTACTGCTGTAAAAGCTCAGGTATATAGGCAAATAAGATCTGAGAAAAAAATAAATGTAATTAATAAGAAAATAAAAGTATCTCCAGGGCATTAACAGCCTCTGAATACAAAGCTGTTAGATGTTCACTAACACACACGTTCTGGTTGAGGGAAATAAGATGTTCCTTTTTAATTTACTTTTAAAAAACATAAAGATGGTCTTTCAAATGAACCTGCTGGGCCTCCACCCCACAACTGGTTGCCTCTTAAAATCCAAGGCTAAGAGATTTCCTCACTCAGATCTAAGGGTCTCATCGGGCTTTTCTACAAAGAGATCTATCTTTCCCAGGACTGTAGCATAAAGCTAAGCATCTTCCTAACTTAGTTTTCCTGTAATTTAAAAAATCTGCAAAAAATACAGTTTAAAAATTTCTAACCTTTGAAGGATCTGAGCGTTCTCTTTTTTTTCCCCTAAGGGCTACAGCTTAAAGAGGAAACGGTTCATCCCAGGATTTCCTGGGGATTCTAAACATTTTGACTAATAAAAATAAAAGCTTAGAAAAACTTTGACAGGAAAACCGAGAGCAGAGCTTTTCCCAAAATGCTTTTAGTAAAATCCTTCTCAGTTTTGATTTTTTAAACAGTGGATGTTGCTGGAATTTTATACACAGAAATGCTCACACACACACATATATATACAAACAGGCAGAAAAACCTTGAGCATAAGACAGATAAGACAGAGTGTTTTACAGTAAAATATTAAGGAGGCAACAAACAAATCCTTACTTTGCATTCTGAATGCTTTTTTTTTTTGGTTACTTCAGCTTCCTGAGGAAACCAGTCCTTCGCATTCATGCTCTATGCTTCCTCCTAATAAATTTGGAACCTATTAGCTGATTTCAGTCATATTCGCAGAGGGTTAGAGAAAACTGCCTGCATGCTCCTTGAAAATAAGCATTTGGCTGCAGAAAGGGCCACAGTGTTTGCTCGCTTGTTTTAAAAAAACAAAGACATCACATGGGAGAGGAGTTGATCAGAGCTTGCAGCAGGAGATGGATCCCAGTGCATGGGCACCAGATTTATTACTATTGGTGCTTGTCTCAGGATGGTTGTGTTCCTGCTCTCTGCCCCTGTGCTGTAAGAGGACCTAGAAATGCTGCCAGGTGAGCCCTGGAACCCGGCTGACCTCATAGTGAAACCAATTTCTGCCTCCAAGCTACTGCCCAAAAAAGCAACTGCAGAGATTGTATTCTGGGACAGGAGCTAAAGTATTTGCATACGCTCAAGCAAAACTTCAGCCACTTGAGAAGATTTCTAGAGAACTGTTGCTTAACCAAGCCTCGGTCATCATGCTTTTGGGTTGAGTGGCTCAAAACACACATAAGAAGAGGCAAGGTCTTGCCGCAGCTGCCTGCTCGCTGGATTTGTAGGCCATTTCCTCCAAAGTCAGATTAAAGCCATCTTAAAAGCTGCATTTATTTTTCCTTACTGTTCAGATAATGCCACAAAAACTGTTTCCTTTCCTGCTCCCTATCTTAATATCAGTGACCCTGTGACCTCCAGCCCAAACCTCTATCTGAGCTAAATCTCCCAGAGGTGCCTAAGATTACCGTACAACTGAGGGCTTCCAAATAAATACACTGAAAGCGACTGCCTATGCACAGTCCCACCTAATAAATATAGCAGACAGTATTTGTTCTGGGAAGTGATGGGAAGTTATGAGCTTGGTGCTGGGAAAGTGCATTTTATTCATGCAATTTATGATCCTGACAGCTGTGTGCTCTGAAGGCCAGTTTTGCACGGTTGTCTCTGACCCCAGCTTGCAACCAATTGAACATGGACAACAGAAGAGGATTTTCACCCTTCCAAGAAGCAGCTTTTCTACCCATGTGGTGTCATCCTCCTGTGCAAAGCAGCAAGCCAACACAGATTTCATGCATGTTTGGAGATACCAGCCCTTATGGCAAACTTTAAACCTTACTGCTGTGCTTTATTGCCTAAGAGAACAGGTACCACCAACCCCACACAGCACCAGGAACAACTGGTCTGATCTTTTAGCAGCACTTTTGCACTATTGTCATCACATGGAAGAGGAGCCTGGACCTGGCCAGTTCTTCCATGGGAAGGTCAGAGATAGGCCTGGTACAGGAGGAAAGCTCTGCCTTACTGCTGGCTTTCATTCAAAGTATTCCCAGGAAGGAGGAGATCTTCAGAATCCCCAACTTCAATTTCTTAGTGAACACAATGGCTCAATTTCTTAAATTTATGCCAACTGCTGTCTCCATGACCCAGCCCTTGTGCTGCTGCATCGCTTCAGCCCAGGAAGTAGAGGACCATTAAGGTCCCTTTGATCTTTGGCCATGGTCATCCTGGGCACTCCAGTTGCAGCCAAATCTGCAGAGACCAGCCTTTGCAATCCCTGTGCAAACCCGCTGCAGGCCTGAGAGACCAAACAAGCCTAATGAATACCCTAACAAAAGACTTTACTGATTACCTTGACGCTACAAACAGTATTTACTTCCCTCCACACATCTGGATTAGTCAGGAGTCAAATAATAATAGAAAGTAATGGCAGCAAAAGTCTATCTCGTGTATAAATCATCTGAAATGCACAAACCACTTATTTTCAAAAGACGAAAGATTGGAAAACCTCTGAACTACTCAAATAAAATGAGCAGACAAAACCTGTATGAGGTCTCAAGGTCCCAAAGGGGGCTGACATTGCTTAAAAATGTTTATACATGCATACATAACACTGCAGGTTGTCATGGAACATTTTGAGCTTCATCTTCCCAAAGCCATGGCATTAGCTGGAACAAAGGAGGAGCTGTCTGATTTTATGTGAGATTTCAGTGAGATGTGGTTTGTGGATCCAGTCCACAGAAACAGCTCTAAGAAAGCACTGCCACCTCTCCAGACAATGAGGAGAAGCGAGTTGATGTGCAGCTGGCCTTAGGAACACTTGAGGAGTTCTGTCACAGATCTCGTTCTTCATTGTATTTGGTTTTGGAAGCAAAGTAAGATAAAAATTCCTCTTATTCCAAGGTACTCTCACAAACCATCACAATGTATGGATTCTTTCCCATGACCATCACTGAACATCAGCTTGTGGAAGCAGAGGCAGCTGTGTCCATTCAGCTCTACGTTTTTAATACTTTTGCATATGTGAGTGAATTGACTTCAGTTGATTATCCTGTTACAGCTTTCCAAGTAAAACGTGCACATGCTTTGTCAGAAATCCATTTCGTTTATTAAACTCCTGCAGTTCTCCCAGTTTCTGATGACAGCTCAACTCTATGCCTATCACCTCATCTAGAAGGCAATACTATGGATTTCTAACCAAGTGGAAAGGTTCCCAGGACCACATCTTCAGTTTTCTGACTGTAGTTCCAAACAGTGCCACAATGGAAAAACAGCTTCATGTGGGCATCTAAGAAACCATTGTAAAGTACTATAAGGAAGTGTTTTTACCAGGTCAAACACTTGAGTGGTCCCAAACTTCATAGGAACTATTTTGCTAATAAAACAGAAAATTCAGGACTTACAATGGAAGGAACAAAATTTGTGTTAGACTGAAAAGAAAGAGATCAACGTTCGTCTGGTGGGTTTGCTATTGAGATTGGAGAAGCAAAGGAAACTGTGAAAACTCTCACATCAAACTTTGCCATACATAAAAATTTGATTGCCCTGATGGAGAAATCACTCTCCAGTCCTAAACTTACTAAGGCTGAACCATAAGCATAGCATTCACATGACTCCAGTAGCTGGAGTTACAGGATGACCCCTGCATAGAACCATGATTAATAACAATACTGCAAAAACAAGTCCTGAAGTTTCATAGCGTGATGTCATCTCTTGGGCAGGGAACTGTTGTTTTCTTTTGCTTTCTCTTCTGGACAAGTGCCAACACAATGCAAATACTAA